CGATTTAAAAAAGTATCGACATTTACACATCGGAACCCAGATTTATAATGTAATAGATAATTTTGTAATATAACCGGTATAAATATACCGGTTTTATGCGCGAATAGGTCTACAACCTATCTCGACACTTTATAATATTGTGTCGGTACTTTATGTCCATATTGGAAGAAAAATGTGTCGATACGATTTAAAAAAGTGTCGACATTTACACATCGGAACCCAGATTTATAATGTAATAGATAATTTTGTAATATAACCGGTATAAATATACCGGTTTTATGCGCGAATAGGTCTACAACCTATCTCGACACTTTATAATATTGTGTCGGTACTTTATGTCCATATTGGAAGAAAAATGTGTCGATACGATTTAAAAAAGTATCGACATTTACACATCGGAACCCAGATTTATAATGTAATAGATAATTTTGTAATATAACCGGTATAAATATACCGGTTTTATGCGCGAATAGGTCTACAACCTATATCGACACTTTTTAATATTGTGTCGGTACTTTATGTCCATATTGGAAGAAAAATGTGTCGATACCATTTAAAAAAGTGTCGGTAATTTTAAGTAACGCGGTTTTTCTTCCTTCATTCAAAATATTTATATGTACATACAATAGGAGTCATGTTGATACTTACGATATATTATATGGAGATCGTTGTCATTCCATTCCGTCTTCGAAAAAATCAGTTGATGTAGGCTGTGTGCTTGTACTCAAACTAAGCTTGACTTGAGGACATGTTAGTTTGTTATGCCCCTCACCGTTGCAGTACCCACATCGCCTAATTTTCTTCTCGACCTTGTTCTTCGGCACTTCTTTTCGCTTGCGTTGTTTTCGTTGAGGGTCACGAACATTGTTTACTACAATGCTCTGGTTGACTGAATGATTCAAACCAAACGAGTTTTCTAATTCTTCTATTAGTTTTTTCATCTCATCTCTTGCGGTTTTGAAAGACTCGTCTGTCTTTGATGCAATGTAGCATAACCTACTTGACGTTGAACGTAGAGCAGCGAACCTTGCCATTTGCATCACTTCTTGAAACACATTCAAATCAACATAGCTGGGTGCAGAAGCCTTTGCATCATTAGTCCACCTACTTTGAATCAAAGTCCCGGGCAAATATGTGTAGTCCAATTGCTTCAAAATGTGAAGTTGATGGCGACACGGAAGTCCAACGGTCTCGAATTTTTTGCAGGAGCAAATTAGAGTTTTCGTACGAGAATCAAAACTAATTTCAAATTTCCTATTTTTTTCTGCGTACTTTGACAAAATATAATGTTGACATTCATCTGATAAGGACTTAATCTCTGCCTCAATCCGGTACAATGTCTCCCGTATAAGTTCATCTTGGAACACACGAAAAGATTCGCGGGTAAAAATCGCAGCGGCATGGCTTTCAAGGTCGACCAATTTTGTGATCTGGAAGGGCTTCGTATGGGAACTTAAGTAATCCGCTTTCAACTCGTTCATACGCATTCTACTAATTCCATCTTCAATTGCACGAACAACATCTAAATATGTCTTCTTGTGTTTCAGTGCAATAGCTAGTGAAGCATTCATAGACTCGCACCTTTGTGTTGAGCGAATATTGGCAAAGAAATGACCGGTTAGATATGCTTGTGCCCATAAGTGTCGTGTATTTCCCTTCTCAATCACCCATGGATGCTTTTGGACGTTGAATTCTGAAACAATCGAACGCCATTGAATATCAAATTCCTTGGTTGTCCACCAGGAAGCCATGCATTTTGAGAATGCTGCTGTAAACTTTGGGTCACCAATGTTAGCTTGTGCATTGCGAGAAAGATGCCAAGAACATAATCTGTGCTTAGCATAAGGGATAACAGATTTGATAGCCCTCTGCATTGCCCTATCCCCATCGGTTACAACAGAAATAGGTGATTTATTCATCATGGCTTCTAAAAAATTCTGTAGCACCCACTCGAAAGATTGAGACGTCTCGTCAGCGATTATGGCAGTGGCAAACACAATTGTGTTATGGTGATGATTGACACCAACAATAGGCATAATTGGTCGACCATACAAATTATCTTTGTACGTTGTGTCGAACGCAATTACATCACCGAAGCATGTGTAATCCGATCTCGATGTAGAATCCGACCAAATAAGATTATACAATGCCCCCGATTCGTCTACCGAGTATGTCATAAAAAACCCGGGATCATCATGTTTCTTATAATCAAAGTAGGCAATAAGCGCATTCACATCCCCATCGACGATTTCCTTTGCTTTACCTCTTTGAAGTGCATTGTAGAGGTCTTTATGTGTAAATCCAACATTATGATAGCCCCCTGCCTGCTGCGTTAAATAGTTCATTACTTGTGACGTGCCAACACCGACCTCTTTCAATGTTGTTGCCTCATCGATATCAGCCTTACTTACAGCTCTATTAGAACGCATAAATGGTGTCATAGCAGATGTGCACAATGCATGATTATGTTTCTGATCAGACTTACTTATAACCCACTGATCGTTTGTATTTGTTGCTGTAACTACGACTCTAGCCTTACATCATGTTCTTGTGACTGGCGTATGAGCACGTTGACGATCAACAGTATTGACTTTTGATACTCGAAACCCTTCTTTGGAACAACAAAATTCTTGTGTCTTCACATTCCCTTCCACGTCAAGCCGTGTTGTTCCCTTACGTGCACTAAACCCATGTTCCCGTGCGAATCCCTTGTAAAAGTGCCAAGCTTGATCACGTGAACAGAAGAGCTGACCAACCAATCTGTCAGATTCATCAACATTATGTACTTCATGGCATTCCTCGGTTGGCTTAACATTGTCTACATCAGTATTATCCATGGCAAAAATTTTGTTGTGCAAGTTCAGTGCTCCAGGAGTTGATGGAGATGTAAACAAAGGTTCATTTTGAATATGTTTCTGTCGTGCTGCTTTCAATAGGATGTGGCATTGGTAGTGGTAGTTAAAGGGTGGGTACAACATTAAATTCGCAGTACATATTTAGGTATGTACAATAACTACAAGTATATTATCATTAAATTTAGGTATGTACAATAACTACATATTTAGGTATGTTTGTTAACTACATATTTAGGTATATACATCTTTTGAGTGAGTTTTAAGATATTAATTTAGTAATTATAGGCGTCTAATGATTTATTTTTTACGTTACGATATATATTATTATTATTAAATTAAAAATTCTAAATAATATTTTATAAAATATCAAAACAATCAAATAATTTTTTGTGTAAATGAAATTATTAAATTAATATTGTAGGTGGAAAACATGAAACACTGTTAAAAAAATTGAAACATAAATTACATAACTTTTAAAAAAAGTATCGATCATTTTTATAAAAAGTATGGACACTTTCAATATAATAGGTAAACATATGATGTAATAGGTAGCCCTTATATAATGTAATAGGTATCGTTTATATAATGTAATAGGTAGTGGTTATATTGTAAAATGTCTATCCTTTTTATAAAAGTGTCCATACTTTTTTCTTCTTCTTCTTCTTCCATATTTCAACTTTTCCGGCACTCCAGAACTATCATGAATTTTCTTTAACATATATCAAAACTTGACTACTTGAACAAGTCAAGTTCTCTTTAATTCTATTTTCTTTACCCTTCAAAAATGTCTTATTGAATAATATTTATAAACCCACTGAATGGCCGTTGGTTAAAGAAAATGTTGTTATCCCATTGAATAACATTTATGAACCCACTGAATGACCTCGGTGGTCAAATTGATGATTAATTTCAGGTTAGTTTTGAGTAATTGTATAATTTTTTTTTTAATTTGAGCAGTTGTTTAGTGAAATTGTACATGTTGTCATGTATATACATATTTATTTATTTTGATTTATTTTTGGGGAGGAGGGTGGACAAACAAAGGATAATATTTAAGCTAATAGCAAGCAAATAATTCTAGAAACCACAAAAATAAAATCCTAAAATTTATTAGAAAAGTATACATTTCGCTCTTTGCGATCTTGAATATGGGGTGAACAATCTTCTCTTTCATCTCGTCGTAAATTCCATCGTAATCAAACCTGAAAGATCTTCCTCTAAAGTTTTCTTATGTTTTTCCTCTACCTTCGAAAAAAAGCAGGTAAATTCGCATTAAGTTTGTTTTTTTTTTAAAAAAACCTCGAAAGAAAGAGGAATAAAAGAAATCAATGTGAATCATACTTCCTTGAAAGCTTTTTCTTGTAAGCTTGGCGGTAAAACTACATAAATGGTCATTTAACTTTTAAGATTATTGTATTTTGTTCACCCAACTTTTAAAACATATAATACAGTCACCGAATTTTTACTTCGTTTTCAGTAAGATCCCTTACATTATCTATCGTTAATTTATCTGACATAGCACATTACTATTACTTTTTAGCTTAATAAAATAATCATTTTAACCCATTTAAGCACCCTAAACAATAATCCTGCATTTTGATCAACACCATGTTTATAATGTAAAATTACAACTTGTAAATAATATTATTGAATCAAACACACTGATCTTATATTAGAATCTAATATTACACCCTACTTTTATCCTTCCTTGAATAAACCTATGTAGAGGTAAATTTGGCTGTGGGAATTGATTGAGCTCAAGTTGAGATGGCAAAGGAAGACCATGGCCACCGCCAAACGTAGCAATGCGGCAGGGTCAGGAGAAGAGGAAATGGACAAAGAATACAGATACAAATCTATATCTAACATCTACATTTTCACTTAAAACTTATGTTAACCGTTTTCAAACATATATTTGGACATTGATATCAGATGCCAACTTCCGTATACATGATTGATATCATAACAGTGGCTTCTCTTGGCATGGTGAATTCATGATCAACATGGGTTCCGACAGTAAAGTAATTTCATGATCAACATGGGTTCTGACAGCAAAGTAATTTCCCAAAAACTTGAGTCTAGAATTTGCAACATCGTAAATAATTATAACACATCATAAATCCGTTGTCGGAGAGAGGAAGCATATCATTGCTCCTTTGCCCTCTTGCGTGCCAGAAAACGTTCTCTAGCTGCTGCAACTGAATCTTCACCTCTTTTATGATGGTTGCTTTTTGGTCCATCAACAGACGGTTGTTTCTCTGAAGTGTTCTCCTGTATTGTAGTGTCTGGAAGTATATCTTTGGTTATTGGCTTCGAATCTCGAGACTCAAATATTTCTCTAGAACCTGTTTCATCTCGAGTCTGGTCAGTCATAGCAGAAGACTCGGGAGCAGTTGGTTCAGGCAACGGCTGATCTCTATTGGATGCATCTTTCTCGCTCTCCTTCTCAAGTTTCCCTAATTCAAGCTTTCTTGATTTTGATTCATTTGCCCCAAACGCAACATTTTTACCAAGGTTGAAGTAAAAATCACTCAAGTCACTCTTCTTGGTAACCTTTAAAACAAAAAAAAAATGGTCATCAACCAGATAAATTACAACAGAATTGGAAATTTAAGAGTTAAAGTAAACCAATCACATACAGACAGGAAACAGAAAGAAAATTGGGGAATTAAATACCGAAAACGAACACCCTATTTATTCCCACTTAACAAATAAACTTTAAATGTAGATTATGTATCCCAAATTCATTTTCTTGCATTTAGCTAATTCTAATAACATGTAAATTTATAATCCCATAAATGATAAGCAACCCAACTGATAGATACACGTGAACAGTCTTTTTTCAATATGAACTTATAACATTAATGCTATCTGCACTTATGTTTTTTCAATATAATTCACTTTCAAACAATCCTTCAAAATTTCCAGTCCCAGCAGATAAAAACAAAATCAATTTGTTTATTTGGGACACTCGAATCAACATATTTAGATTAACAACAGCATGCTAACCACCCTAGGAATCAATAGCAATTCATTCGATCATAAATGTTGTAACATACAATAAAAGTAAAAACCAAACCCATAAACAAAGAAGTGGAAAGCAAACAACAGAAAAAGCTACACTTACATCCTCTTTCTCCTCTCGAAGTTGTCGTAGGCGTTCTTCCTCCATCCATTTTGCCTGCTCAGCAAGCTTTTTCTTGTAGGCACTAGTCACAAACTTATCCTTGTCTGAGTAAAGGTGATCCTCTTTACTTCTCTCTTTCACAAGCTTCCTCTCGTATACTATCTCCTGTTCCCATTTCCGTTGCTCCGCTTTTTTCATTAAGTTATGAATATATTTTGGCTGCTCAAAACAGTCAACATTATCACCAGTCAAATTGATGATTAATTCCAGGTTAGTTTTGAGTAATTGTAGAATATCTTTTTTTAGATTTGAGCAGTTGTTAAGTGAAATTGTACCTGCTGCAATGTACATACAGATTTATTTATTTCGATTTTTTTGTTTGGGGGGAGGGCGGACAAACAAAGGGGAATAATTAAACTAATAGCAAGTAAATAATCCTAGAAACCACAAAAAGAAAACCCTAAAATTTATTAGAAAAGTATACCTTTCTCTCTTCGCGATCTTGAAGACGGGGGCGAACAACCTTCTCTTTCATCTCGTCGTAAACTCCATCGTAATCAAACACTGAAGGATCTTCCTCTAAAGCTTTCTTATGTTGCTCCTCTACCTTCGAAAAAAAAAGGTAAATTCCAATTAAGTTATTTTTTAAAAAAAAATCCTCGAAAGAAAGGAGAATAAAGGAAATCAATGTTAAACTTACTTCCTTGAGAGCTTTGTTTTTGTGAGCTTGGCGGGAAATCTCTCTCTCCACGTCATCATCGTCGTCTTTTTGGAAGCCGTGAGGAGGAGGTAATGGTGGTCTTGTCGCCGTCTTTTTCTGTTGGAACAGCGGAACCCTCAGCTGTAAACCGTACTTCTTCATCTTTACTGGAAAAAAAATTATATATTTATCTCATATTTGTTTATCAGTATCTAACAGTGAATGAATGCATGTCTTCATATCTACACTCTACAACTCTACGGTGATACTAGAATAACAAGAGATTTCTTTATAGCTAAATGAATGACTGAAACTTGGAGGGGAAAACAAGACAAAGCATATCAAGGAATTACTCTCTCTCTGGGAGGCGGAGGCGGGGGAGAGCGGTTGCGATCGTAGAAATCGCAGTCTTGTTGTTGCTCACGCGAATCTCGGTCACGGCGTCGAGGAGGCGGCGGGGCAGGGGGAAGAGTTGGGATCGTCAGATGCTGGAAGTTGTCTGTTGTTGTTGTTATCTTACACCAAAATTAACATGTAAGCGTACATGGTGTTTCTTCTTCTTTTACCTGCATTCATGTTAAGCAGCACATGAAACAGGTTCAGGCAGCCATGTACAATAGAAAATCATAAATGATGACATTACGGATAGATGAAGGTACTACATCTATATCCACATATGATGCTTGATATATATATTGTGTCATTTTTAAACTTGGATCGAATTATAGAACTTGATGTACTTCTTCCAGATTTCCTCTAATTTTATATCTTTCTGACAATTATAGTCTCGTGATGTTACCATTATTAGACCTACATGATCTGTGCTCTACTATATAATCAATAAATCTATTTGGTTATATCAACCTACAAATAGCATCATCACCAATACTAAAAGTCGATATTTAAATCACTACACAAAACTGATGGTGGGGGATTGAGATCTATCTCTCTAGGGTTTTCTCATAGGATTTCCTCCTCACATTTTTCATCTTTTTCAGTCTGCTAGATTATTGATCATAGTTTTTTATCTAAACCAAAAGGATAAATAGTCATTAACTATTATCTATCATAATTTTTTCATCAATAATTAATCATCTTCCACCATCATTTTCCCATTAACATGATCATATAGAATCGAATTCATATAATTAATGTGCAGGCAGCAGGTTCCCTCTTGTGACAACAGATCTCAACTTTAAATGTAAAAGTAATACAACTAATAACTACAACTAATATATATATCTACATCTATATCCACATCATGAGACTATAGTTGTCCCGTCGCTCACGCGAATCTCGGTTATAATTTTTTTTTGATAAATCGCAAGTCAAACATAGAAATTCCTATTTCACTTAAATAATCTGAACCCTGTATTTCCAGGAAAAAAGAAAAACTAATCAAGAAAGTAAGCGTCGAACAATTAGAAGACCAAAAAATAAAAGGCACTTAGAGAAATCTCAAAAGAAAAAAAATGAATTTTCAATCCAATACCAAGAAAAATCGAATTCACAATCCAATGATAAACCAATAATTTCCTACATGCAATACAATGAATCAATAAAACAACACAAAAAATTGAGATAAATTATAGATCTTAAAAAATACACATCGAAGGGCAAAAATTATGGATAACTTAGGGTTTCAGAGATAAGGGACTTACAGATAGGTGTAGATCGACAAGATGATGAATCTGTGAAGAAGAAAGGATAGTTCAGAAAGACAACACCGCCACGCCAAGAGAAATCCACCAAAGAAATTGAGAGAGAGAGAGATAGATAAACAATGATTCTTTTGGATTTCTTGTTCGCCTTTTATTCTTTTGCTTTCTTGCTCATTTAAATATAGTGAACCTTCTACGTTTGCCCTTGGATTTTGTTCTTATTACGGGATTTTGCCCTTACCCTGGCCTTTTCCGATTTTGTCTAGTTTTTTTACCTTTTTTTTTTCTTCAACTCGGCTCTACTTAGCATGGGTCCCTCTCTTTGGGTTTGGTCGTGATATTCACAATGTCCGCCACGTTGATAGTCCTATTCATTTAATGGTTGAGATTTATCCATGGATAAATCTATTTCATCCTCTAGTTCACAGACCAGTTTTAAGCGGGAAAGGTCAAATCTACTCAATTAGAAAATTATTATTTTAAATTATAATTAATATTACTTTGATATTATATAAATTTTAAATATAAAATTCAAAATTATATTATTTCATGCCTTTGTAAATTTTAAATAAATAATTAAACTAATATGTTTTTATCTTTTTATACTTTGATATAATCTTTAAATAAAAGAACTAAAACATTAAAACTATATGTGTGGTAAAAACTAAAAACATTTATATGAAACTTTAATAGAATATAATTACAACCTAAGTTATAAAGTTAACCTTCAAATTTATAAATTTAATGAAAATATTAATATAAAATATTATTATTTGATATACTAATGATTATTTTTTTTTAAATTCTACAAGTAGCATTAATCATTTATTGTATGAATTTAAATAATATTTTGGTAAAATATACAAATGATCTCGATTATAGGGAGATGCTTTTGTTGAGTCATTTGATTATTAAAAATTATAAAATGATCACTCGACTATTTATATGTTTCAAACTCATCATTTCTTATTAAAAATTTCACAATTGTTTGCGTTGGACGCTAATATACTGACTAAGATATGATAAAACTATATTTAGGAACTTAACGTTTTTTTAACGGACGTTACAACCAATGCACTTAGCACCCATATTGACCGGAAAAAAAAACTAGGCACCTAAATGAGAAAAAAATGTATGGTTTAGCCAATTTTTTATATTAAGCCATTATAAAAATATGTGTTTCCTTAAGAAGTTAGATATCAGTTAAATTGTTCATATTTGTTTCCTTATATTCTTTTAGGTTATGACTTTAAGACCTAGTAAGAAAACTCACATTCTTTCTCCTAGAGTATTCATTTCCACTTTCCTCTAGGTGGGATTATGATTGAATTTAGAGATTTTTTTATAAATATTTTATTGAGTTTGTGTATTAATTAATATGGTGAGAAGACAATTATAAAGAATACTCTTTTTTAAATAATAATTAATATTATTATAATGATACTTTTATCTTTTCATATTTTTTATTAATATAAGGTGATTATAATAAGTAAATGTTTTACAAAATTTCAATAATTTAACAATAAAAACTGAAACATATTTGCAGTATCTAGTGTTTGAACAATCCCTTTAACTATTGAGGTAGTTAGAAATAACAATTCTCCTAAAGTTCGATATCATTTTTTAACATGTCATATTTAAGTTGTTCATTCTCCAAGTTTATATGTTTTTAAGATTTAACTCATGTATTTTAAATAAACTTAATATTGGATTTAATCTAACATTTAATGTTTAAACTGATAATTAAAGTGAAATAACTCGATTAATAAGATAATAATACTTTAAATTTTCAATTAAAATGTATTAAATTTAAAGACGTACATAGAATCTAAGTCATACTTTGGGATATTTAATATAAGAAAACATTATTTCAGATATTAAAAAATTTTGAGTTACGACTCATTTATACTATTAAACTTTCAATTTGTCAATTTTAACACTAAATTTAATTTTCGCTTCAATTATGTCACTCCAAATCTTTAAAAACAAAAATTTGAGCTTAACCACTCAACTAAGTTAAATTTTTTTAACAACATAATATACATATCATACAATTCAGATTATTTATAATTTATTTTTAAAAATAAATATCATTTATAATATAAATATAATATATATTAATAATATATTTTTTATATATGATTTATTATAAAATATAATTTTTAGAAAAATCCTTAAAAAATTTTAAATTCTCCCCAAACCCAAACCCTACATACCAAATTCCTAATTTTACTCATCATTGCTGCTGAATCAATGACCACTACCCATTATTTCTGTTGCCGGACTCTTACTACCAATAACTCTACTCTATCGTCATCTGAAATTGATGAACAATGTGTTAATCGATCGCTAGACATTGAATGTGAAATGTTCTAGTCGAACCATGAATGTCGATCGATTGACGGACGGATGACGAACATTGTGTACGTTAAGAGGAGGAGACTTCAGTGCGATGACAACAACGTTCTATCGAAGACCATGATGAATAAATTCAGGGATTTATGGATTAGTGTCTATGGTTTAGAGGGGTTTTTTTTGGAAATTTAAGATTTTTTTTTTGAAAATTTAAGAATTTCAGGGAGTTTTCTGATTTTTTTATTATATAGAAAAATATATTAATATATAATACATCAATATTATTTATAATATATTAGTATTATTTATAATATATTTATATTATAAATAATTTTTTAATTTTAAAACATCAATTATAAATAATATGAAATATATGATATGTATATTATGTTTGTAATAATATATTAAAAATCTTAAGTTGATTGAGTGGTTAAATTATAATTTTTATTTTCAAAAATTTTGAATTCAAATCCCAACAAATTATTAAATCTCTTAAATTAAAATAACGTAATTTTAAATCTTTCTAGACATCAAAATAATCCCACCAAAACAACATCAACAATCAAAATTTGATAATATATGAACTAATTTTCCCTTAATATAATTAAGAAAAAAATACTTATTATACGAGGACGTGTAAAAAGTAAATATTTTTTTTCTGGACCATCTCGGCTGCTCTTTGTTGCTCTCGATCCGGAGTTATCGCACAATAATTTAAGATTTTTTGCTCCATATTTGAGCTATCTAGGGTTCGTTTACCCGACCCCATGGCCGAAGTCATAAACATGACGGTAGATTCCCTAGACCGCCGCCGCGGTGGCGACCGTAAAGATAACAACAACAACAGACAACTTCCATCATCTGACGATCCCAACTCTTCTCCCCCTGCTCCGCCGCCTCCTCGACTCCGCGACCGAGATTCGCGTGAGCGACGGGACCGCGATTTCTACGATCGCAACCGCTCTCCTCCGCCTCCCAGAGAGAGAGATTACAAGCGGCGCAGTAGCATTAGCCCTCCACCTCCGCCGTTGAGTTACAGGGATAGGAGACACTCGCCTCCGCCTCGGAGGTCTCCGCCTTATAAGAGGTCTAGGCGCGAGGATGGAGGGTATGAAGGGAGGAGAGGGAGCCCTAGAGGCGGATTTG